GTCGTTGTACTGCGCAGGCGCATCGTACCTTGTCTTTGATCTCGCCGACTCTCCCCACTGACATATCGCAATTTACCATTTGTATGTGTATTTGTTCCACATCATAAATAAATATGTAACGTTTATTTTTATATTACTTTGATCACGGTCAAGTTTCTCTAAAAGGTAAAATAAAATATTGTATAATTCTATGTATCATCTAACAGTTTCCATGTAAGGTTTTAAATTGCCTGAAATTAACAACAGAAAAAGGCGTCACACCAGTCATTAAGACGACGATAATTGAAAAAAAGGATACGTCAAGAGAAACAATGTAATTGCTATTCATTGGAAAAAATCACAAGTACCTATATAGAAAAAAAAATACAATAGTACTGCATTAGTCGTTGTAATTACCATTTTAATTAAAATTATGTGTATATAAAGTTATTAATAAAATGTAAAGAGAGAGTAAAGATGTATTGATTTTAATTCGAAGTTAATATTTACGACTATGGAACCAGTTTTTAAATAACTTAGCGCGTTTTTTTGTTATTAAAAAGGCCCGTCTTTGTGCGGCCGCCTACCTGATGTAATTAGACGGGCGATTTGTAGCTTCTTGGAGTCCAGTCTTGTATGGGGCCGCAGGCTTGGATGTTTTTGTTAGAATTAGAACAGGAAATGTTAAATTACTTTACGAAATTCATCAAATCGACATAAAATAAACTAGATTCAGTATATTTCTTTATATGCGACGTATTTAATTTGGATTACTTGAGCTGAGGTTGAAATGAAATGTAATTTTAACATCTTATATGTGCATGTATATAAAAGAGAGTTGTGTTAGTTCCACTATATATAACTTAAAAACGACTGCAGGGAAGACTGAAAATTGGCAGATAGATAGCTTAGAACGAGGATGGACATAAGATAATATTTAATTCTGTTTGATAGAAAAAGAAAACAAAATACTTAAGAAATTCCAATATCTGGTTATTTGTGACCTCTAAAGCGGAATAGAGTTCCCCCGGTCAGCTATATGTACATATACATATTACTAATTCCGAAATTAACGCGGACAAAGTCGCAGGCGAAATCTAGTATGATATATTACGTTACTTTTTTTAAAATATTTCTCACCGAGATCCATAATCATAAAAAATATTAACATTATATGAAGTGAGAAAGGAATTGAAACAAAAGATTTATTTCGAACATTTCAAACTTATCATCACACCTTTTCCTAAGCCATCAATACCGACCCTTCAAATTACTGGGTGTTAAAAGATACAAAAAAAAAATATCTACCTGATTTAATGGCTGCACACAATACACGGAACAACATCGAATTACAAGAAAACACGGTCTCCGGCTCGTCTATATTACAGTAATATTTTATAACGAGCAATAAAAACCAAAGAAAGGGTTGCGTAATATTCGTTTTATGTACCGCTGTTTTGAAAACGATTACCTTGCATTACTTGTCTTTCAGTTTCCCTTATTAGTAGATAATTTAACAGAGCCTATAGAAATATGTTAAAAATATATTTTTATCCATTTCGTTACTTAAAGTTTAAAAAATATTATAATTTTTATTGGGATAATATAATATTTAATAAGATATTCTACATATGTGAAAGTACATCTATATATTTACTAATGTGCCTACTAGTTTTGTTTATATATGTATATCATCTTTATTATAAATATTTTTAGGGAACAATACACAAGGTTCGTTATTCGGTTGGTCGTTAGAGGTGAACGACCGATCCAGCATCTGATAGAACTTTGAATTGACCGAGATTAAGATTAAGGTCACTTCTGTGCCGACTCAAAAGAATACTAGGCTTACCCAGAGTTGGATGTGCTTTATGGAGTTGTTAAGAACATAAAAAGATTTGAGTTAATATAAAGATTCAGGATTGTCATCTAGTTACAAAAAAGGTTCCGATTATAATTTAATAAGAAAGATTAGGATTAGACTACTAACCATTTTTAATAACTAATATTATATATATAAAAAAAATTGAGGAATATAATAAACATAAGGCTATCTAATATAGTTCTAACTACAGTTTTGTCAACCCTGACAAGAATCGTGAATAAAAATGTTGCGACAGTAAAAACGTGTTAGCCTAAATCTCTAGTATCATTTAATGTAAACTCCTTCGCAAAAATAACTGTTTTAGATCAATATCATGTCCCCGGAACAAGCTACAAAGAAATATACATTTTGATGAAACCGTGATGAAATAAAGGAAAGGAATATACTATAATACCCTTATATATTACAATTATCATAAAATTATGTATTTTTAGATTAATAATATGGTAGTGTTCTATGCTTCTTAATGAATAAGTTTAAGTACACAAAACACACACACACACACACACATATATATATATATATATACATATGTTTATGTATATATTCATGACACTAAATAGGTATTAGATAAAGTAGGGATTATAACTAGTAATTAGATATACTTGATAGTGTGGAATCATGATCACAGGATATTGTATTGCGAAATATAAGCGATATACATTACACTGACATTCCACAGTTTGAGTTACATTACCGGAGACTTGGTTTCATAAAAGTTCATAAATGTACTCGTAGCAAAGAAACTGCTTGCTTTAAATATTATAGGGATACAATAAATACTTCATGCTTATTCACCTATGATTTTGAAATCGATTGAACACGTTTCGTATTATGTTGTTTTGTTAGGTTTCTTTTAGTAACTTTTTATTAAATGTACTTAATTGTTTTCATTTAAATGAAAGTAATTGTTTAGGATACTACTCGGTTTTTTTTATTATTTTATACCTACGTAATTAACGACTTTCATCTCGTTAGCGTTCACGATTGCTGTAAACGAACTAAAACTATAAAAAAAATAAAATAAAAACGAATAGTATGATGAAAAACTTAGTTTCATTTGAATGTGGACACACGAAAAATCCTATAAATAGCTAGACATATATATTACTTTTAAAACTTTTTTATTTTTATTGTATATACTATTGGCACGTAACAAAATCTATGGAGCGTAGTGAAATTGAACGTATTATCAATTCTTGATAAAAACCGGCGTCTCTGATGTGATGCCGGTATACTGATACACATCACCACTTAACGTCTGATAAGGAATATAAATAAATATAAATGCCCGCGCAAAGATACCGCTATCATTATGGTGGTTATTGATTTAGTTCGGTGCGATTACTACGTGTTTACGACTCACGTCAACATCAAACGGACGGTTTTTAAGTTTCTTCATAAGATAATCTTCATCCGTATTATTTTTAGCTTTTTAATGAACATGCAAAGCCGCATTAAGTATACACTTAACAAATAACAGCAGCAACACGGTAAATGATTGAAATTCGTTTTATTTTAACGAAATAAATCATTTTATATGTGTATATTGTTTTATTTTATAGCGGAAATACAAATCGATTTGGCTATCAGAATGTAACAGTTAGCGCAACATAAATATATAGTATGTACCTAAACATAATATAAACTATAAACTGAGTTTTTTAATTAATATTCAACGTCCCTTAAAAGTAAAGTCGAGTCGAAACCAGTTCCACGCATCAGAGGCGGCGCTTTTGAGCCGTAATGACTCTTGATTAGACTGTTTACGACTTTGAAAATATGTTGTGGTCGTTTACAAGCTACAATCATACAGGTGGTGATAAATAATTGCAGCGTACTAAACGACCGGCCAATTTCATAAGACAGTTGCTATAAGACTATTCAAGTGTATTATGTAAGGAATATATTTAATACATACGAATTTAAAGTTAATAAAAATATGTGTATGTACCTATATGTACTATAATACAAAATATAATTACAAAATTATCAAAATAAATGATTGAATAATCTTTTCTGTGTGTTTTTCATCCAACTCCATTGTGTATAAGGAGAATGTGACTTTATTTGCAAATTGTATAAAAATTATAGCGCAAGATAAAGTTTAGTTACTAAAAAAAAAAACAAGCAAACTCATGTAAAAAACGAACAAAGTCGCGGTAAAGAGCGAGCTATAAATGTCTTGAAGAGACCAATTTGGTTTCAATGGTACATTGTAAATATATATTTTAAATTTTAATGTTTGAATTTATCGTGAAATCAACAGGACGACTTTGATGTTCGCCGCACTAACTCAAGTGTCATATATCGCTGTGTTGATTATCGTGGAGATTACGATAGGTTTGTATAAACTATGCGGTTCTGTATAAAGGAGAGGCAAAGTCTATTTTTACTATATACTTCAAAGGGAATTTCATTAAAACAAACACCAGAGTTTTTGCAGGACTTGGCGTACAACCAAATGTGTTAACCGCGTTAGATACGTACAATATTTATCGAAGTTCTGACATAAAAGATTGCTATCGTACAGTAGTTAACAATTCACCCCAAAATCATGTAACTGATCGTGTATCAGTTTAACGAGTCGTTAAATCTTTTATCTCCCTAAAGCCGGGGTAATAAATTCATTCCCCAACAATGGCATGAACTTATCAACCCCAAAAACATGACAATTGTTGAACGAATAATGTACGTCAAATTTATGATATCCATTCCCAACAAATTCTTACAAAATTTTATTACACATTTCGATTTATGACCAGTATGATTAATTTTAACAGAATGTTTATTATCTTTAACGATCGTTATCTGACGAAGTCAATTAGGTAATATGAAACAATATTCATTAACAGATAGGACAATTATTCCGTCTTTGTTTGATTGATATATTCTCTGAAAGATACAATGCTACAGTTTCATTTACAATGCTTTTCAAATGTCAGTTTAGTTTGATTCTCTATAAAATTTATAATGAGAAACATTTATGAATGATTCGGATAAAATTAATTATATTTTTTAATTTTAAATTTAATGTTTTCATAACTAACGTAATATTTCCAAATAATTCACTTACAATAATTTTTGTATCACTTTACTTCAAAAGGATTATTATAATTATAACAATAATATTTACCGCTTCCTCAGCTTCCTTCTGGTCTCTGTGACCCATCAGGTTTGGCATTGCTGTCCAGTTGTACCCAAGGTCCTGGCATTGCGACAGTCTGATCCTTTCGCACTTCCCACCTTCCGCGTCCTCCTGATCGCAGGCGACCAAGGATATCAGGAGCAAAACACAGAAAATCCGAGCCATCATATTGTCACATAAACTAAACTTAATATTGTACTAATATCTTCAGTCATATTAAAACTGTTCATTCATAAACACACTCGTATCGTGATTTTTTTTTAATATTTAACTAGACACGTGCATCACAGAGCACAGCTAGCTGCGGACTGATTCGTTTTAATTTTTCAAACGCGGTGCGGCTTCAAAGGCAAAGAACGAAACCGGTCGACCAGCGCGGCGCTCGGTTTTCGACATGCATATGTTCCGATAAATGTAGGCATGTATAAAACGAAGCTTTTGATGAAAAAATCAAAGGTGCCTAATGCTTAACTCGAGCGTGGACCGATCAGTAATTTCGTATCCAAAGAGCAAAGTAGAGATGAGCATTAAATTATTCGTACGCCCGTGGGGATGGATTTATTTTACCAAATTGCTGCAGAAGTGTTCAGTAATTGAGAGCTTCAGGAACTTTATTACACGACATTCAGCTTTGATTACAGAGAGACTGCTGCGGAAGGTAATCTGTAATTAGAGTGTCTGTTTCGATATTATTTTTTAAATCCAATTTTTTTATTCCATGAAATAAAATTCCCAAATAACTAAAGTACAGTACTAGATAAAAAGTTCTGAGGGAATCTATGATACAAGTTGTTAATTAATATCATATAACTTGATTAGCAAACAACTTGATAATTTTATTTTCCAAAGCTGTTAAGTCCTATGTTAACAAACTCAACCCTTTCAATCCCGGAAAAAGTGCGAAAGAGTCACCTAATGATTTTTATCGCTTACTCTTTTATCTTTCAGGCGTCCCAAGTAGAATACACAATTAGGCCCCTTCATTACATCATTTCAATAACACCTCCAACATGTAAAACATACAAACGGAATAGTACTTTAGCAGTACAAAAATAAGGTCGTAAACTATTCTACGCTTGAAATATCTCGGTTGGTTATCACGGACAATGTAAATAGATCTGCACGTTGTGGGCATATCGTTTCATGTTGAAAGGGACCATGGGTTCAAGATATGGTGGTCGATGGTTTGAATAGCTGCATTGAGAGAGAGGGCCAAGTCAAAGGCGCCGCGGTTGCGCGCACGCATCCCGGACGAAGACGGAATGCCTAATTAAGAACGCATGCGTGGAGCGGGGTGTAGTCTGTGGTACAAGCTACAAGAAAACTATATAAAATCAGCTGACCGCTAAACTAAAGTAGTAATATTTTAATTGAATAATATTTATATATTGATAAAATAATACCGCCTTTTAATATGTATTCCTTACTTTTTTATTACAAAAAAAAATGCTTTCAGTTAAATTTAATTCTTAAGTTTGTTTACAAACAAAACGAACTGAATTTTTATTTTTAATAAAGAAAAGTAATTAAATAACGACAGCTGTCATTTCATGTCATGCCAACAGTAGTGGTTATTATTACCACTAATTCAAATCTCTACTAACGAAGTTCCTAATTGTGACTTTAGTCAAAGTTGTTAATCCCGGATCGGGTCTCCTCCATTTTACACGATATTGGCTGAATATACTGTGCATTTCTTTGCACGAATGAAGACCATATTTAAAACAACCAACCAATTCAAAACGCCTTCGCCTATATAATGGACCACACGCTACATACTGTTGGTCGGGATTTGTAATTAAAACGTCAGATATGGACCGGTCGACGTTTTGAAGATACGCGCAGGAAGTGCTCTGTGGACTGTGAATAACAAACTTAGAACCAGCGCCAAATAAATAAACTTATACTTGCAAATATACCTTCCATATATATTTAAATACATTTAAATTGACTTACATTAAATAATTTTATTATTTTTTTAGATTTTAACTTACCTTTTAAGTGTTGATAAGTCTTAATATGTAATATATGTTCCCGCATTTAAAATACCTCCGTTATCGCTCTTTGTGGATCCATTTTGATAAATCATTATCTTTTTCTACTTCGGATTGTTATCTAATTAGTCACAAAAGTATGAGCGAAATTTAAAAAACAAATCAAAAATAGAGAACGAAATTCCCTTCATCACTAACTTGGGCGATACCAATAAGCAATTTATAATATTACCTTCTTTTGAGATCCTATTGTTTAGGACGGCAGTTTACTTAGCGCATATACATATATAATATTAATTATAGATAATAATAAAAGGCATATCAGTTATCAGAGTTGTCTTTGTAAGATATAAAAGCAAGCTTGGCGGCCCCCAATCGTCCTTGTGTCAACCATTCTCTTCTCAGTCATCCGGAGACGCTACCTAATGCAGATCTTTGTATTGCTTCTGTGTGGGCTTCTTTTGTCACTCACAAAAACAGATTCTCTTTGCACCATCTTTGTCTTGTAACTTTACTTCTGTTTGAACGACTTGTCAGGGTACGACATATTGTGTCGATAGTTTCTGTGACCTTGACCATAACAGGTAATATAGGCATAGCTTATATGTATTTTATGCAATATCCTGAACTCCGACGAATATCCACACTTTAATAATAGTCCACCTGAAATATACTTTTCTATCTAAGTAAGTTAGTAGTTTCGTAATACATTTTTTACGTTAAATTTCATCTTATTTTGTATATAATATATGTAGAACACTTTTGGAGAATATAAAAACAAATACTAAAAATCTTATTATTTTATAATTTTTTGTCCCAACCACATTGACGAAAATGTTGTATTTTATTGCATTCCTTAGTAATAAGCCTTACATATACTCGATGGTAAAGGCTAAATTAAAATGAAAGTAATTACCTCTAGCGATTAATTTCATTATAAGCATTAGAAGTTTAAGCAAATTGGAGAGATACACGCAACAAACTAAGGTTCTCAAATTATTGTCACTGTTTCAAAGTGTATATAAAATATATTTTTTATTCAAATTCCTTTTCCAGACAATTAAATTACACAATAGCCATTATAAAATATTTTGTCATCATATGGAATTGAAGAGCCGGGGCTCAATTATTGCGAGTTTGACGTTGTCTGGGGTCGTAGACATTATTAACTGAATTTGACGGCGGAGTGTAAAAACAAGGTCGTTTGGTGTTAGGGCGATCATACAATTCAGACGATGAGTAAAGATTTTTCAGAGGGTTATCAAGGAGATTATCAATTTATGATTGGATTTAAGTGTTTTGCGGGTGTAATATAACGAGTTGGCTACGTATTATGCTATCGTATTAATAATTAAGGCTCGATTTAGTTCGATTCTTATAATATATAACGCATCTCTGAAATATGAATGTGCACATTGATGTATAAACGTGATATTCGTTTGTGAGGTAATGATAAATATGTATATTAATTGTATTTCTGTTTTAGTTTGCAGCTGCCCTCACTCCATTCGTAGTTTGAGAGGAATGTCTTCGAGGACACGGGACTTGTCAAGCAAAAACTTTAGGACCGCTATGGAACAGGATCCAAGAAGCCGAGTATAGGAAAGCTGTTTGTTTATATATAACTTTGTAAATAATAACGGCTTCATAAAAGAAACAAGCCTTGAGAAGTATTAAAAAATATACAGAAGAACGTTTTAGTCTCGATAATGATGATAATTATTTTTAATTAGAATTAATTTTTGATATAAGATGTATCATAAATCAAAAGTGTGAGTCATATTTAATTTGATATGTAAATTATTGCTATGAATTTTATCATTTTGATGATCGGCGAATATTAAAGCTGGTCGGAGTCACGTAGCGAGAGTAGGTGTTAATGTGCTACCCGCTGAGCTATACCCGTTTGAGGCCTGGTGATATAGCTGTTCGCTGTCTTAGCCGTAGTTTTCTAAATATATGTCATAATAGAAGGTTTTAAACTTGTATATTTATTTGAATACGAAATATTTTTTGCTTCGGTTCTAAAGATTTTTCTAATAATTTCAAATTTTTACAATTATACAGGGTGACTGGTGAATTACTATCGATACTTGAGGACGTGATGTTTGGCGATCATATATGACAAAATGTAAATTAATATAACATAAATATTAATAAACTTCGAAGTAAAGTTAACCAAAAGTTATGTTATTAATTACGCATCGTGTGAACACCCTACAGATTAGGTATACACACACACACTCACACATACGCGTGCGGCGGCGTCGTGTTGTATCAGCACGCCGCCGCACGCGTCCACACTTGGAACACTTGGAACGTGTCCACACTTTATTTATTTATACGGAAATTTGGTCAAAAATTAAGTACCTATTTTTTTTTACATAATTCGAATGAGAATCATGTACCGAGTATTCTCCTTAAATATTGATGGTAATTCACCAGTCACCCTGTATAAAGAACAGTCTCCAGTCATGAGAAAATGGTAAAACGTCTCAGTGCAACACCTGACTTGCTTCTGAGTCGCGAGCCCTGTTAATATTTATAATTTATTTTATCCGCTTGTGTACTGAATTAATTCAAAGAAGGAATGATACGAGAGAAAGCTCTTTGATAGTTAAATATTGAATATTGAATGTAAGAAAGGAAGTTTTTAATCTTGCTGCATATATTTATATTTAATTCATAAACACATTTCGTTAATGAATATTCAAGAAATATTCAGTCCTGACTTGGACATTTGGTTTGGTTTCTTGAAATTATTCCAGTATATCTTTTATCCTACATGATCAAAAACGTATGCGATAGACATTTCTAGGTAGTAATTAGTAAATAATACTGCGTAATGAAGCATATAAGATCATTTTGTACGTTTCAAGTCCTAACAAATTTTTGTCATTCAAATTCTTGATGATTAGAGTAAGATAAAATTTTGATTTAGATATTTTTAGACTTTTATTTGTAATATCAAATATTTTAGCGTATCATTATTTCTATTTGGAATAACTCTTTCGAAAATCAAGGGTTTTTGGAAAGAAAAATAGTATATAACATAGATAGTTACTCTAAGCAGTTTTTTTATGAAATATTAGTAAATGTGTAGAAAAGATAATGAGTTAATTTAAAATTTAATGAGTTAATTAAAAGTTTACTCAATTAAGGTAATTATAATAG